AGCCAAATTAGCCTCGGTTCCGCCTTCAAGGCCTTATTCTCCCCCGGTCACCGCGTTCTGCGGCTGTGCACAGCGCCCAGGGGATCTCTCATTACGATCGAAACGGATTTTTGCACGTCTTCGGAGATCCCGAATCGAAGCAGTTGGTTTCCGATTTCGATTTCGTCTTCGTTCAACGCATAACCGCGTCTGTGCTCGATCGAGTGAATCACGTCATCTTCCTCCATATCGAAGATAAAATGAATCTGATCCGGTGAGACAAATCTGATGGGAAAGTAGGTTTCTCCGAGTTAATTTTTGCTACCTGCATTTTCCTCTCGGCTTCCGCTGATTCCCTCTTGAACGCAACCCAAAGAGAGAAATGATGCCTGAGTCCGTCGATATGTTCTTTCGGGCGAATTCTTTGAGGGAGATACTAGTCCCCGATGTCAATATTCTCTCCACCGAGTACGAATTTATCCCCGGAGCCCCCTTAATGAGAAGTACTGGAATATTGCACAAATCAAGATCGTGTTTCTGAAAGGGGAGCGGTTTGCCTTTTTTCAATATGCTTCCTACGACATCTTGTGAACCTGAATTTCTTCTGCGTGGGACATCTCGGATTAATGAGAAAGATTTCTGCCAAGCTGAAATAGATACATCCAGCGCATCAAATGTAATCAATTTTCAAAGATTAAATGCCTAAAATTTGCAGCGGAAAAGCAATCTGCCCTGAGCCAGGTGCGCTTCTTTGACGAGGTCCAACACTCGGCAGTCTCGGTGAAGTTCTTTTTTTTTCAGACCACATCTAATGTGCTATTGCGGTTGATTGTGTTCTGGTTGCATATTAAATAGAGAATCTTCGTGACTTTTTGTAAGCCTTAAGCCTAACTCTCCATTCTTGCAGTTTCTGTCGCGCTGTGAATCATGATTTTTCGAATTAAGAGCAACATGCGATTCAGCGAAGCGGGCAAGGTGCCCTTCGATTCAAATAATGCAAAGTACTCGCCATGACACATGGGAAGAGGAATTTGCGAAAAGCCATTTAATGACGAGGACCGCCCACCCGTCCGCGCTGAGTCATGCCGGAGTGACGGGGATTTCCCTAGATTCTTCTCGATTTTCCCCGATGAAACAGATAATAACGAGTGTCTTATCGTGCCCTTCGTCGTATTCGTCGACTGGTGATGCAGCAAATAAAACTGCAGCGCCACGTCTTATCGACAAGGAGACCGTAGTGGTTGGCTTATTTCCCCGACATAATCGTGGGAGCAAGGACAGGCGACCTTTGTAAAGGCGACGTTTGCGAAGGTTTTCATTAATACGACAAGGAACTTTTTAAGGAAAAAAATTTTACTTTTAATTTTAAAATTTAAAAAACTTGGAAGAAGTCTTTCGTATTCATCATGTGCAGAAAATCATGAAGCTCGCGCGATATCGGATGGAAGTATTAAAAGAATAAACTGGTCTCATTTATTATCATTTTGCAAAAAAAAGGGAAAGGGACCTCAGTAATGGAAGAGATTCGCGCGATTGATCTTCCTTCAGAGGCTTTAAATTTCATTGATCCATCTGAAAATCTCCGTCGATCCATCCGAAAATTGTGGAACGAGGGAGATCTGCGTATGGAACTATGTGCGTTCCGGTGCGGGGACGATCGTTTGTCTTGATGTGATTTCGTAGAATGGAGATTCGGAATTGCAGGCACAAATCGGTAGTCTGAGGGTTGGAAGTCGTCGTAATTTCAATCGCAAGATATTCGTATGCACATTCGTTTTTTGATGAATGCGTCTGAACGATGAATGAAACTAAGTTTTCAGGCTTCCGCCTCTCCAGGAAACAATATCGTGCTTTCCTGTCGAACTTCTATGGTTTCCTTCCAACCTTGGAGAAATGAATAATGTAATGGAGAAAGGACGCTTTGGAAGCCTTCAAGAAAAAAATTAGTTCTTACCTGTGCTCAATGATTCAGGGTTTCGGCGATAAAAGGAACGAAGCACATCGGGGTATGTGCTTTTCATCGCTCTTTCCTTCTTTGGAAAGGCCTCCATGATTTACTTTTGTCACATAGAATCCATGTTGGTGATTGGTGGCCTCTCTTTCCTTCTACAACAGGTAAGTCCGCATAGCTCCTTTGGGTCTTACGGTTCCTTGAGAGTGAAAGTCTCTCACCGGCATGCCTTTTCTGGTTCTCTTCTCTCAGATAGTGGATCGAGGAAATCCGCCATCATTATCTTCTATTAGTTTTCTTCCTGATACCCTGGATCATTTCCAATCACCTCCTTAGCGTATGTGGTATTATTTCAGCCGAGGATTCAAGCCATAAGTTTTTCCATGGCTTCTGTCAGAAACAGACAGGGAAGCTGACAAGTCTGAAGACGCAGTAGTTGACGATTCAGAATCGGTGTCTGTACTTTTGCTACCAGTGGCGCAATTAGGCTGAAGGGGGGCAGGGCAGCAGAGCGAGGGCGTCGAACCCCACCCTAGCGATACCAGGGGAAACAATTACTACCTCCAAGGGGCGGCCTTCCCCGCAAATACATCACTGTTAGCCATCCTTCTTTTAAATTTTTAATTGCTCATTTTCGCTTCCATTTTCCCACTGATGCTGCAAGGACCAAGCAAGTGATTCTGACTTCCTGCGATGAGAAGCTGAATCGTTAAAAAAAAAATGCAGGGCCTTTTTGAAGCGTAATGAACCTCCGCCAGTTAAATCTCTCAGGTGGAGATGCTTCTCAACTGATCGATTCTCTGAGAGCAAGGCGACTTCACTAACCTGCGACAATAGGTCTTCTCTTCGTCCCTTGGTAAAAAGAAAACCTCAAGCGCTTGCAAAAGGTGTTCTCAATGTTTGCTGTTGAATTGTCAAATTGAAACGTGTCCAAGCCCAAGGTTGGCTGAGATTTACTGATCACCAGCTTCATGCAATCAGACGAGAAAATCTGTTGAACTTGAAGGGTGGAATTCGACTGAAAATGATGTTGCAAAGAGTGTGACGACATCTGTTTTGTCGTTGGTCCACTAATACCTCTTCATCGGTTTCACCGGTTGCTCGAGTGCTCTGGCGGCCGCGACAGACATAGTGACACTCACCTGATTCATAGAAGTTCCAAGAACGTAGGAGGGGGCAGTGCCCATGCCAACAAGGAATCTTTGTGCTAAACAGCAGACCTTCCTGAGTCGTGCCCTTATCGACGCAAAGGGATACAGGGTATTATCTTGCATGGGTCTATGCACTGTGACGCAGTCAGTGAAGTAGAAGTGGTTAGTCACGGCTGTGTATTACCCTAGTTGCCTTGACTGGGCCGAAGGCTTAGGCCTACGCTGACTGCGTGTAGCGTAGCCGAGACCTTTCACTCACTTTCTTCTAGGCGTAGTCTTTTTGCCTTCATTCCATGGGCCTGTTGTCGTTTGCATTGTACATATGTATGCCTAGGTTATGACTGACCTAATAAGGCGTAGCATTTGGCCATTGGTTTGGTTTTTGGTTATAGATAAGCTTCAGGAACAGGTTAAGCCTAATCTTACAAGGTCACTACTCCAGCTTCGTACATTGTGTATATAAATTTTAAATTAAAATTATTTTATTATTTCTTGAGACAACTTATGTCGTAGCATGTGAGCCTAGAAATAATTGTAGACCCTAATTTTATAGTGATTTTCAATTGGTTGCATCCCACCAACTGTGGCAGAAGTGGGAATTACTTAATTCCAAACTCACTCATTGATTTAGCCAGGAGCAGTTATTTTGAGGCAGCAGATGTTGCTCAGTTGGATGACATGTGATGCCATTCAGGAGAGAAGGAGGGGGTGCAGTCAATCAAAAATCAAAGTTGGCTTTAGTGTATTATCCAAAATCTAATTATTTTTAAATTTCCATCTAGGGTTTTTATTTTTTTTCCTGACTATCATGCTACTTATTTACTTTTAAGGTAAGGAGGTAATATGGAGATCACTTTCAATTACAGAAAACTTATAGATTGTAATTTGACATATTGGAAGTGAATATAAAAGTCATTTTAATGCCCAAATCTTGTGCCATGCATGAGGCTATTGGTTGTTATTCTCATCAACCTATAGGATTTATTTGTGATAACAGACCTAACACAACTCAAGTTTCTTCTTGATGGTCAGATGCATGAAGTTGCACAAGTGCACTTGGAGAAAAAAAAAAATAAATTGGATAGAAAAAACTGGACACAGTCTATCCATGAAAGCCCTAAGACAATGGGTAAGAATTTCATGTATAGACTTTGGCAAAGTTGGAGCATCAGCTTGGTGCCTTTACAATCTATAGTCTTCAGAGCCATATCTTGAGAAATTTCATATAAACTTGGTACAATTTCACTTGTCCTTTACTGGCTTTTCCACATGCTCGTATTCCTCATCATATTCTACGAATCTTCTCCTGAATACAATTCTTTCCAATGGAACATATAAGAAATCCACATGGCTGATTTATGATGCACCCATCCCTAGTCATAAGTTGTGCATCTATGGCCATAAATTGCCTAAGGGAACTTCTTGAATAGATTTCATTTGGGAAAGTTTCATTCATTCACCTTTCAAATAACCCTGATCATGGTCTGACCGATGGAACCTCTGCCTTACATGGAAAGATCAATTAGGAAGGTATTGAGGAAGAAGTTTTGAGAGTAGCAAAACATTAGTGTTGGCCCATGAATTCACATCCATCTGGTAGCCTAGTGTAAAATTTTCAGTGGTAATGCTACATTAGCCTTTTTGCCTTCTAAGAGGCAGTAACATGCACCTGCAAAATGACAAATAATGATCAGCACAAATGGTACACCTTTTGAAGCTAAAAATGCCAATACATTTTTTTTTGCCTAGTTAGCTAGTGTTCTAAGTTAGGCTGCTCTATGACTCCTTGGTGTCATTAGCAAAAGAGATATTTTATTTTTTGCTTTGTTTATTGGTTTCAGGCTGACAGAAGAAAGAAATCCCCTAAAATGACATCCATTTCAACATGGATTGAATATGAATTTCAATATTCTATTGAAATGCCATCCAAAGTGGTGAAGAAGATGATATCAAGAGATGGCATATTTTATTTTCTCACTGATGATGGAGAGTTATGCAAATTTAATAATGATTTCAGCAATTATGAAGAGATTCATTTCACTCCAGATGTCAAGTTAAAGGATTTTGAGTTTTATGAAGGAAAATTCTTTCTTGTCACTACTGAGAAGAAAATTTATGCTCAAGAAGAGAATGGGCATCTGCAAGAGGTTGTTGTGAAGTCATCTCTTCAATGTCCCCATGGTCATACAGAAGAAGCAGCACTTGGATTTCTGCAAGTGGCAGCATGTGACACTCACATATTTTTTGTCAGTGAAGCAGGTCAACTGTGGGGGATGGGGAACAGTTTACCACTGGGACTCTCAGTTAGTGAAGGTGATTCCAAGTTGACTGAACTAGTGCAGCTGGATTTCCTTAGTACTAGGAAAGTTCTACAGGTGGTAGTTGGCCATGGATTCACAATTGCTATGACACAGTATCAGGAATGTTCTGGCACAGAACCTTCTCCTCTAAACTTGTGTGAAGAATGCAAAAATTGCACAGGCAATTCAGATCCTGACAGCTTAAATACTTTGGATGGATCACGGTGTCCTTTGGGCTTAGAAGTCAGCTCAGGTGTGTCTGGTGGAGACTGTGATAATGAATCAGGAATTTTCAATATCTCAAGCATTAGTACCATTTCTGAAGATGACCTTGATGCAAGTGACAAGTTGGCTTGGATAGCAAATGGCTTTTGCAGTTCAGGGATAGATCTCTCTAAAGAGACTGATGAACATCAGAATGAGGGAAACCTGAGTGATTCCATGCCCTGTCAGAGTGACATTAGCTCTGCATATTCTGCATTGGATTTGGAACTAAATGGAGAAATGAAAGAAAATAATGAGAATGCAACTGAAGATCTCAGATATGATCTGAAGAAGGGCCATGAACCAGAGGATTTTAAGACTTGGTGCAGGCGCAAGACAAGCATGAGGCAGTTGGGATATTCCCATCGCAAGAGTCTGAGTGCTGGGTCTTTGGGGATGATGAGGATACCAAGTCATCCACCAAGCCAAGTGTTGTTTGAGGGAAAACTGAAGGTGGGAATGAATAACTTTGATCAAACTCATGAAGTGTGGTCCTGGGGAAAGGGAGAGGAAGGTCAGCTTGGACAGGGAGATTATCTTGCTCGACCCCAGCCATGCCAGATCACCATGCTTTCAAAGTGTGGGATTGTAAAAGTTGTCTGTGGGAAGAACCATGCTGTGGCTCTGTCTCTGGATGGGAAGGTGTATGCTTGGGGAGATAATTCTCTTGGACAGCTTGGGAAGACTCAGCTAAGGAAGGTGGTATCACCTGTTGCCTTACCACTTCCTGGTTCTAGTGTTGCGTTAGATATTGCTGCTGGCAGCTACCAAACTGTTGTACTACTTGATGAAGGGAAGCATCTTCTATTTGGGAACAAAAGGTTGGGAAAATATCTCTGAATAAGCATATCTGAATGAATAACTTCTGAAAATTCCTGAATTGTTAATATGCAAGGGCACTTTGAATTTATTTTGTTGTATAGGAGTTGGAATGTTTTTTTTTATTCATATATCTATTTAAAAAATTAATTTACTTCACTTTTTACCTTCAAATTTGATAGGTAATATTAACAAAAATCAAGATTTACCTGAAGGTACTGTTCATGGGTGAATTTCCATTTCACCTGACAGGAATAAAGTTAAAATTTTTTTTTACTGCTTTTCAGTCTGACTGGTGATGAATTGGAGGAGTCATGGAAGGAGCTTCTTCCTCATGCTGACCCTGAGTGTTGGCATCTTGCACTGCTTGCTGTTGATGATGTTACCCTCTCGTGCTGGGTGTCTCAACCAGAGCCATGTCGAACTCCTCTGCAGAGTCTGTACATTGACCTACTGAGAGAATTCCGAACCATGGTTTCGGTCAGGAGTCTCATTGTAAATCCTATGCTTGGCCATGAAGAGCTCATGGGGCGTCAACCAAATCATGAAAGCTGTACAAAGTTGCTGAAGATGTACAAGGAGCTTATGCATCTAGTTTCCACTAGTGTGACCTGCCTGCGTGTGGCTCTGTTTTCCAAAGATCCGGATCTGAGATATTTGGATTTTGTCTGTGATCATGCTTCTTATATTCGAAAGTACAAGCATTATGTGAAGCTTCTATTGGATTTAGAGGTGTGTGGAGGCATCATTGTTGATTGTATGGATCTCTCAAGCAGTCATTTGTTGAGCAATGCCCTGAAGTACCTCGAAAGATATATCCCCCAGCTGGATGAAGTGGAGCCACAGGAAGCTTTCCAGTCACTTCTTTATGCTCCTTTAAATCATTTCAGTCTTTACTGTGATGCTGCTATGAAACTCAGGGGCTTCCTCCCACCTTCCATGGACAGAACTTTGGATTTGGCTTCCTCTCGATGGGATAAAGCCAATCGCGATGCTTTGACCAAGAAGACACAGACTCAACAAACTGTGGAATTCTGGAAGGGATGCTCAGACAGTATTTGCTCAGAACTGAAGACAGCAGAGAGGAGGCTGATCTTGGACTCTAGAAGCTGTCCATTGTTTTTGAGCAATGGGGGGAAGTTCTCCAGTCATTGGTTTCTTCTCATGAATGATGCTTTCATTCACATCAATGGTTCTGTGAAGCATACTCATCCTCTTGCACTCATATGGGTTGAAAGCACACCCAGCAAGGTATCTTTTAGCAGTTCCTTGAAGTTTTGGCCTAATTTTAAAATTTGGATCATGGAAATCCCAAGTGAATTTCTTAAATGCATACATAAATTGGATGTATATTGTTCTCTTGCAGAAGTCATTGAAGCTCCTCATGCCTGAAACTTCCTTGCACTTGTATTGTCCTAATGCTCAATTGATGGGGAAATGGCTGCAAGGCCTTCAATCAGCCATACAGGCAGTCACCAAGAAGCATGATGACACAAGTGATGATTCTTCTATCAGAATGACTGCTCCTCTTGTCAGAAATGCTTCCTACTCCTTCACCAAAGCTCCATTTGCTGCTGCAACCTATTCAGGTAGGTTGCCTTCTTCCTTTTGATATTTCACTGTGTGGCAGCTGTATGTGATACACATAGTGATGATGATTGTGATGTCATTTCCCAGGGACTTGGATATACGGGAAAATGAATGGTTATGGAGAGCTGCGTTGGAAAGATGGCAGACTTTTAAGAGGGTTTTTTCGGGATGGTATCTTGGATGGCCCAGGAGCAGAGGAATTCCCTTCACCTGATGGGATCATTACATATGAAGGGGAGTGGAAGAAAGGCAAAATGAATGGATGGGGCAAAATCAAGTGAGTGATGCACCATATTTGATTATCCCCTTAGAACCTGATCATAAGGTTTGATGGTTAATATAATATGATATTAAATCAAGATGGCTCAATGTAAAGATTAGATTGTTTGACTTACAATATCTTTTCTTTTATCTTGATTGGCTTAAAAGTGTATGATACAATGTTGTTCCTTTATAATAATAATAATTTAACTGGAGTTGTGTAACTTAGGCTAAGCTAAGAAATCTCTAGAGGTGCCAATGAGTCCAAAATGGTGGAAAAGAGGGGGAAAGAGACACTCATGAAGGGTGCACTGTGGACAATCCCTTACATGTATAGCCAGCCCTTAGTAAAACAAGAAAGGTGAAGTTCTAACTTTAGAATGAGAAGGTACATGAATTTATGTTGCAGAATTTATGTGAACCAAACTTCAATTTCAGGTACCCAAATGCTGATTTATTTGAAGGCAACTTCAAAGATGGTCTTCAAGATGGATATGGAACTATGAAACAGGGGCAATTCCTCTCTTATGCAGCATCAATGTATTTTGGAGGATGGCAGCATGGTTTGAAACATGGATATGGTGTCATGGATGATATCCAAACTGGTGAGTCAGCTTATGGCAAACATGACTGATTTAATCAATCATTTTATCAACTGTTTTTGATATGTTGAAATTTATTTTCAGTTCATTTTCCCTAATGTATCCTTTAAGTAAGTAGTTGAGTCTAGCATTTCTCCTTCTATTTTGCAATGTAGAAGCCAGGAAAAGGGACTGTTAAAGTCATCCTGTAGGTTATGTTTCAACTCATGAGATAGGATAAGGCATTCATAGCACAATTTTCAACCAGAGTGCACACATTCAGAGTCCAATTACTAGCATTTGAGCATGCGTCAATATGAGATTTGTAGAGGTTCTGATGCTTGGCACTTGTGATAAGAGGAATGGCATTATGAATGGCATTGTCCATTATTAGGGAGCTTTAGGTACAGTATTTTTTTAATGTAAATTTTTGCAGACAAGATTTCAGGTTTTACCTGTTGACCATGGCTTTTCAAACACCAATCTAATCTTAAGAAAAAAAAAAAGGATTACCCAATAACACCACATGGAAATTTTCAAATTCACTCTTTAGTGGAAATTATTGAAAATGAAGCTCAAGATTTCATCAGTTGTTGCTCAAAATTAATGCCTGCTCTAGGATGCTACAATACAAAGGAAAATGTTCACACAGAACCAATTATGAATTCTAAAAAGCCATTCAAAGTGGTTCAGTATTGTATGGTATTTGTCAAATTAAGTTCAGGAAAATGCTCAGGGATCAAGATGTTATCAGTTGTAAGTTATACTCATCTAACTTCAAAGCTCTGCTATTTTCCATCATTGAGGCACATCAGAAAATAAATCTGAATGTATAGTTTCATGCCTTACATTTTTTTGTATAATTGTATTTCATCATCTGATTAAAGCTCTAGGTATTGAAAACTCTATTCATTTGTAGGTGAGAAGTATCTAGGATGCTGGGAGAAGGGTATTCAACAAGGTCCAGGTATACTTGTTACATTGGATAATGTCTATTATGAAGGGCTGTTCCGAAATGGGAAGATGAATGTGAGTTCTTGACAACTGGGGAACCTTTTCTTGATGAATGAATTGTTCATGATTGCTGGTGTTTTGCTTCTCAGGGTAAAGGCCTGATGATATTTGAAGACAAGACATCATATGAGGGGGAATTTACTGCCACTGGTGTATTGGGTGGTTCAGGAACATTGAATCAGTCCAATGGAGACTCTCTTGTTGGTACTTTCTCTGGATCATGGAACCAGGGGATAAAAATCTCATCTGCCATCTATTACAAGAACATGAGCTCTCTGACAGAGAAGAACTCAAGGGATACGAGTCTGCCTCGGTGTGTGTCCTTTTGTTTTGTGCTTAAATGAGGCCTGACGAGTGTCATTTATTTTAGGTTATTGAATCCTGATGACTTTCATGCTCACAATTCACATTATTATTCTTCCCAACAGGGCATTTGGGATGAGGTCTATCCCAGCAGAGGAGAAATGGGAACCCATTTTTGCACATTGTTGTAAAACCCTGGGGATCATGGAACGATCTCTAGAAGAAGACTGTGCAAGGGCATGGGAGAATTTGGCTATTGTTCTTTCCCGGTCAAAGAGGAAAGTCATTCCATTAAAAGACCAATCTAATGCTTCTAAGTCAATGTTTGATAACCTGGAAAAGATTCCCATCCAGGAAAGTGACCCACATATGGACTGGGAAAAGTACATTGCCATCAAATCATACCTTGCCAAAGTAAGTTTTGCATTTTTCTACATTTATCTTTTGTTGCTTGTACTAAAGCTCATGTTTTGCTCTTGTTTTGTATCAGGCATTTGAAATTGAAGAGCATCCCCTGGGGCATATGATGGGAAATTTAGTGGAAGTGTTCAGAGGTAGTTATATGGGGGTTGGGGCCAATCCAATCCTCTTGACTCATGCTGTGGAAGAAGTCAAAGCTATGATACTGAGGGTATACTCCATCATCCGTGTCCTCTATCCCTACCTTCCTTTTCCAGATGCTCCGCTTCATCTCTCTGATGGCATCCAGTAAGATTTCTCCTCAATTACCTTCTGTCAGATTAATCCATAAACTGGTGAATTTTGTACTATCAGTTTGAGCCCTTGTGCAGCTCTTTCTGCAGGCAGTACCATGAAATTCTTAATTGACAGCAGTCAAATCCATTTCAAGTCTCATGTTGATCAAATGTATGGAATATTATGTATGGAATAGCAGCAACAAAAAGTAGGATATTCAAAATGTCAAGAGCAGTGAGTGCATTTCTTTAACTCATATTAATGTATCAATAGGGGAGGATGCCTTTAGCATATTAAACTTTTTTTTTGTGTTTTTATAACTCTACTGAACCAAATATGCACTTCTCAAAGACAGACTGCCATCACATTATATACCTATCCTGAACTTAATCTGATTTTGTAATGCTGCAAACTGGAGTATAGAGTTGAAATAATCTCAACTCTTTTCAGTTGCTGCATTCACAAGTAAATCCAAAGGTAAGTTCACCAGAGACATGAGTTCATTGTGCACCAGCAGCAAGTTTATGCATTGGCACATCAAATTTCAAGAGATTGGATGGGGCAAAGAACTCCCCTCCAATCCCTTCACATTTTCTTGTCAGCCAGGCCCAGTTGATAACATGGAGTGGGGTGAGAGAATGGCTGAGGAAAATTTTATAGATCTGTCCAAATCTTGAGGGGACAAAACTAGGTAAATATGATTTTCCCCTTGCTCTTCCTCCACTTTCAAAGATAGGGGGTTAGCCTTTTCCCCTTGGCCCACTTAAGAGCTTAGAAAATGAAATACTATGAATGCATTTTATAAAATGCATTGGACTCCTTGGGTGCTAGTGCTGGGTCAGTTCAGATACCCTTATACTTAGTGAAATGAGATCAACTGACATTTTATGATGGCTTTATGGATATCATTGATGCTTCAACCTCAACTTTTGGTGGTGTACTGATGTGTTGGCAAAAGTATATAGGGTAGTCTGTGGCTGGCAGAATTTCAGAAGGGGGTGAGGAGGGCTTGATTTACAAAATTCAATTCATTGCTTACATGAGAAAATGTAACATCTTTATGATTAATCTTGGTGAAACTGTCAATGTATAGTCTATTCTTTCATAAAAAGAGTTCTTTAGCAGCATGTCTTTCTCCTTTCATGATATCATTTCATACACACAGTTGATCACAGAGCTTTACTTCATTTGGTTAACTCTATCCCCTATCCAGCCTTTTGTTTGCATGCACATATCAGAGTTTTGTCTTCACACATGTGATAAACCATCTGTTGCACAAAGTTTTAGTCTAGATCAGGGGTGCCCAAAGTGCGGCCCATGGGCTGCATCCAGCACACAAAGTGCCTTAGAGAACATCCACTTTGGGCACTCCTGGTCTAGATCATCAATCTGTTTCTAGTGTTGTGCTCTGAATCCTTATCCACATTACAATGCCTGGTACAATTAATGGTACAAGCCATCTGTGGTGAAATCTTCATATTGTGGCATTGCTCTGCCAGCAGTAGAACTTACATTCTGGTGAGTTATGAGGTCATATTGCATGACTATGTTAAATGATAGCTGATATTTATTTATTTACTTATTTCAGGGCTGATATTGTGGCAGTGCTAGTTTATAGTGCATGTTTTTCCCCTTTCCAGAGGAACTGTAACTCCTGTCAGCCTCCTTCAAGAATTTTTCTTGCATCGAATCTATGAGCCACTCTTCACCCTGTATGCCATGCTACATGAGAATGATGATGATATCTACTGGGAACGACTAGTCAAGTGGAACAAGCAGACAGATGAAGCTCTTCTCAACTTCCTTCGTGTTGACCAGTAAGTGCATGGAGTGTTGCATCTCATCTCCTTTTATTGTGTTTTTCTCAGGAGGGAACTTAGGTCTCACTCTCTGGCATAACACACTTGTACTAACAGTCTTTTTCTTTATCTCACAAACTTTAGAGAAAAAAAGAAAATACTCATACTAGGTGTTTGCATTTATATGCAACTTATCGAGCATCCAGCCACCCATTGGTGGAGCTTGTCCAAGGTCATTTCGGAGCCCTGGGACAACTAATCAATATGTTCAGTTGTGTGCTCCTAACTTTATGGTGAGGTTGTATGTTTCTTTAAAGCTATGAATCAAGTGAACCTTGTGGCATTTGCCTGGTTCCTCAGACAGGGTGCTGGATGTTTCCTTTTTTGTGTTCAAATATTAACACCCTGTATTAACCTACTTACAGTCTCTACAATTACATGTCCTTTTTGTCAAGAAAAACTGAACTGTCAATCTCAGAGTCAGAATGTTAGTTCTAAGTAGACATTCATTTTTCTGTTTTTATTTTGTGATTTGGGCATCATTTATGTGTTGTTTGCACATTATTCATGATCATATCCTTATTAGGAGCAAAATAACTATGAAAATATGGAAGTTGATAACATTTATGCCAGTGCCAATAAAATTATAAACTTAAAATTAAAACCATTATGAGCAATTTAGATTATATTGAGTGTTTAGACAAAGTTAGTTCCTCCTTCATTTATTTCAGCTGCTCTGACCTGATTGCTCAGAGTAATAGAGTCCATTTTAAAAGGGTTACAGAATAGTTTCCATTTCAGAACTCTTAAAACTCAGAATGTTCTTGATTTGAAGCATGCATGCAGACTTCAAACCTCCATCTCATCTTCAATCTCCAGAATTAGGGAACAAAAGTGATTCAAACCTCAAATGCAATTAACCTTATCACTAGATGAGTTAAATCTACTAAAGCAGCAAGGCCTGATGAATACCCTGTGATGTTAGCCTCTTAGCTCCCTCTTGCATGCAGCTAGAGAGGCATACTGGCAACCCTTGGTCACATTTGGCTCAATACAGCTATATGTTAATGGCACGCTTGTTGCTTCCCCGTGTGTAGCAAGTTCTTCCGCCGGCGTGAAGGATCAGAGATATATGCTAGTGCTGGTCGTAATGAGCACTTCACCTCTGCCATAGACACCCTCCAGCAGCTTGGATCTGCCTTTTTCCCACAAGCCAAGTTGCAGTTGCTTCAGAGCACTTTTCAAGCAATCAATGAGGTAAAGTGGTGATACCTGAGGTTTCCTTGTTAATGTGAAGTTACTGAGAGTGAAAATTGAGGAGCATGTGAAGCTGATTTTTGGATTATTGCTACTTTAATTTCAGGAGGTAACTGAGAGGCTGGATGAGGATCACTTATGGAGTATGGATGCCCTATTTCCAGTCTTTCAGTATGTTGTAGTAAGAGCTCGGATTCGGCGTTTGGGTTCTGAGATCCACCTCATGGAAGATCTGATGGAACCCCATATGCAGCATGGTGAACTTGGTATCATGTTCACTACTCTTCAGGTATGCTTCCTTGTTTTCTTTCATGAAATTAGTCCATAGGTTAGGCCATAGCCAATGTTCATGAAATCTAGGATAATTTCTTGGGAGTATTTGTCTGCTCAGCAGAAGTGACTTTAGAAACATGCTTTTCATTAGCGGTGAAGCCACTATCATAGGAGACTATATATATACAGGTGTAACAGTTATAGTATGATGAAGTGAATTGGCATACTTACAGCATTACTGCCATTATTTTTTGGAATCATGGGACAAAGCTAATCATCCATTGTCTTCCAGGCATGCTACTTCCAGATTCGCAATGAAGAGCTCAACATGTGATCCAATTTTGCAAGATAGAAGAAATTGTGAATTTGACTGTGATTTTCTTGTGTATATGATGTGATACAGATGAGTGAAAATTGAGGAATATTTTATTGTGAATTTCCAAGTATTATGGTATTAGTGATATCCATGTTAGCAATTGGTCTTGCTTTCCACATCTCTAATGCCAGCCTGAATCTACTCCTGTGTAGTTGAAATGCTCAAGATATGATTTAACTTTGTCACAGATTACTGTGAGTCATCTAAAGCTAGTCAGTTTGGCTGAAAAATTGGAGTTTCTGGCTGAAGCTTCTTAGTTATTGTACCACAGCATAGTGTATCTGCCATGATGTTTATATAGGCCCGATTTTGTGTTGGTTATGTTTATTTCAATTCACTGTATCTTTCAGTATTAGGCTTCTACTGGGATTTGATGCCTACAGCTTTATTTTCATGATTTTTAATTAGAGAAGTTCCAAATAAAATATTTTTGTGACTTCTCATTTGCAGTTAACAACTCAGGAAAGCAGGAATTATCTGGCAAGAAAAAGGCACTCTCTTGAGCTTGTCATCATTACCATTCTCATTCTCCATACTGGCCTATTGCAATGAAGAAAAATATCTATCCTTGTGCTTATGCTTCTCCAGTGTTCATCCAATTTTCTTTGTTAACCCTCCTTGGAATTTCTGAATACTCCTCCATCATATGTGCTGACCCTGCCAGGTTATTTGTTATTATTATACAAGGTTTTCCATCAGTAACTCTAAATATTCTATACTTATGCATACTCTACATAAAGTATTTTGTAGGTGACAAAACAATATTGCCGGAGAGTTACATCAATTTTATTTCAACAATACACACTGAATTTGACCCTGCAGCAAATATTAAATTGTGCCCTCATCAAATGCAACACAATTTACCCACCTCCCAACAGCTTCATACATATTTCTCTCAACTGTCTGAATCTGTATTTATGATTGCCACAAATCTGTTGCCCTGAGACTTGGAGGTTTCTAGACTTAGTTGCCTAAGCTTGTCTCATGACATGACTCCATATTTTATTTTTAAATCCAAAGAGTCAAGTCAGGCAAAAATGGGGTTCCCATTCAAATGGCCCTAGTCAACTGGAGTAACTACACTCTCCTAAACATCTATGCACATTGAGTTTTCATTGTTGAATGAATCAAAGTCAAATGAATTGCCATATTGGTTCTGACAAAGATGGGAAATAAAGTTAAATAAGTTTCCCATTCATAATGGCTACATAATTTTGTGAATTTTGTGAGAAACAAGAAAAATAAAATATAAATTACTTATGGAAAACCCTGTATACTATGCTACATCATTCCAAGAAAAGTTTGAACAGTGGAAGGACAGCAGATTTAACTAACCCTCCCATTTTTACTTGGTTCCCTGATCAAAACACCTACAAGAGTCATCATGTATTGTGTACTGAATCAAGAGAAACAGACCTTTCCAACCATATAGTATTCATTATGATCAGCAAAAGGAATTTAAAGCAATGAACAAGGAAGGAGAGGGCAATAACCACTCAAGAAGCTTGGGAGAGCACTCAGTATTTTCTGCCATGATATATTTAATAAAATATATAGTTCCTTTTGGGATTGATATAGAGAGGAAATTTGTGACAGCACATTGCTGTTTTGAGTATTGAGAGTAAAAAAAAAAGTGGTTTTTTCCTCTAAGCTCTCCATTTTACAGAGGAAATTCTTCTACTTAAAAAAGTAGAAGAAAAATCATAATCATGCTAATTTTTTCTACTGATGGGAAAAGTGATGTGGATATTGAACTTGAGACAAGGCCCAGTGGCCTAAGGTTCCTCAGCAGATTTTCAAAGCAAGAAGCTGTTGAGTCTTCAGATTTGGCCAAATTTTTGGCTCTCCAGGAGTTCAAGTTAGCAACTACTTGAAAAACTACAAAATATCATGAGCAACTCCACTAAAAATGGTTTGCTTCTCTCAAAATTATTGAGGGAGGGATGACGAGAGAGGAAATTTTTTATTGTTCTTGTGTATGCCAGGATCTTGGTTACTTGTGTAAAGTTTCAGATCAGATTTCATGCAATTCTGCTTATCTTTAGGTCCCTAACTTTTTCCACATTATTTATGTTTGAGAACACCAAGCAACAAAGATTAACATTTGCCCAGTGACTTAGTCACTGTGCAAGTGTTTTCTGGGTTGGTATATGATGTAGCAATTAACAAAGCTGTCTCAGCTAAGCCATTTGCTTTTTTTTTCAGTTCCTAGTTGGTTGTCTCTTCCAGAAATCCTACTGTACTATCCTACTTTCATGTCTTTGATTGCTCAACAATTGCTTACTTTCTTGGTTGCTACCAATTAGAATCAAGGTACAGTCTGTTTTACCTTTTTTATTTTCTTTATACACAAGGATGGTGTAGAATTGCAAGCTGAGTGCTCTATTCACTGCTTGGCCTTTTCTCTCCCTCCTCTGTCCTTGTAATTGCCAGATTTCCCAAGGTAGCAGAGACTGTCTTGAAATATTTACGTATTTCCCCTGACACTGCTTCAGATGAGATTGTCCCTATTTACCGCAACATGTCCTGCTTTTTCTTCTTTTTTTTTGTCAACTGAGTCAGTGATGTCATAAACATGCAGCAAATAGCATGATGGTCATAGATTTTTTTTGCCATTGGACAGGGCTGCTACACATGATGATCATTCCCAGTTCTTCAGGTCAGACTTCTGGATTTGGGATGAAACCATCTGCTAGACCTATCAATCTTTGTTGTGATTTTCCTATGTAGAAATATATTCTGACTTATTGGTCTCTAACTGGTCCATAATTCTGTGACGATCCAATTCCTTGTCCATATGAGCTATGTACTCCCACATGGTTTTGGGAAATGAATCCTCTTTTCTTGTCATTTGGAGAATTTCTTCGAACATCACATTCCATCACAATTGAGTAACCTCAGCATAACATCCACATAGATTTTTGTAAAATCAACATACTTCTAAGACATGGTAAAAATACATCCTCGTTCAATGCACGTGCCCCAAGAATCGTTGACAAACGACAAATGATCTCCATACAAATAATACTCAATGCTGAACGGAGTTCCGAAGTTATGGAGATGGTTTTAAAATTCGTCTTCTAAGTTTGAGGGTGCCTCGCGTCATGACAAGATTTTCAGGAATACTCCTCAGAAAATACACGTGAATCTCGAAAGCGTATTTCTATCTAAGTGGGGGAAGGTGCCTTGTAATTAAAAGATTGCACGTCATGGCTTCCCCGGAGATGAAAGTTTTCGCTCCTCTCATCGTCGTCGTCCTCTCATGCCATTTGAATCGACGTGGGGATTTCGGATAAGCTCACCATTTAAGATTCGTCTCTCTCTTCCTCCTTGTGGTCTTCGTGACGTTGGGTGGTTGCGATTTCCTTGCATTTTTGATTGGAAATGTGATTTTCTTCCCTTTTCGGGACGTCTTCCTCCGAGGACGCCTGGATTCCGGGTGTATCTACTGGGGTGGGGGTCAGAGCTCGTTCGTCCTCGTTCTCAGATTCGGATTTCTTTTCCTCATCGCCGTCTTCCTCGAAGACCGATATCTGGAATTCTTCATCTGGTTCGTCGTCGTCCTCTTCCACATCCCCATTGACAAGCAGTTGGGGGATGTTCGGAGCTCGTTCGTAGATGGTCAGCTGGAATGGAAGGCGTTTCTCGGTCGTCTCAAAGCGCCGTATCATATTGGCCGGAATCATTAGGACTTCATGGTCGCTGATTAATTCATCCAGGTTTTGATGCAATCCTCGGACACAATCGTGATAGCGTAGAATGCATTCTGATTTTCCGAATTCCAAAGCGAACTCGTAAACCCTTGACTCGCGTAGTTTCCCTACGAAGAAGACGGAAAAGTAGAAGTTGTGTTCTAGATCCGTCTTGATCTCGATTAGGAAACTCTTTCCGAAACCCTCCTGTAAGCAGAAAGATTCCGTCGTGGTCTTTATATACTCCTCCACGTTGTCGAGCTTCCACGTCACGCAGCTCCCCTTCCCGATGATGATGAGACTCCGGTGCTTGGCCTGGATGTGGGCCAGCATGTCTTGACTCGCACTTCGGTAGCGGCAAGTGGGATCCACCCTCTTCAAGGGACAACTCACGGGTCGAAACTCGCAGTACTTCTCGTGATCTTCGAGCTCGGATAGGAGGAACATCGCCTCACAGCCATGACATTCGTACTGGCAATTTTTCTTCACGTTCAAGATGATGTTCTCGAGGATGCGATTCCGGGCATTGATGAGTTCGTTGCAAGTGGTGCATCGACCATCGCCGCCATCGAGCCGAACTTTGCAGCGATAACAAACGATGTGTCCACTCGAGCATTGATAAACTGGTGGAGCGTAGATGGGCTTCCTGCAAACGAGGCATTCCAATTGATCCTCGAGCAGGTCCAACGATAACTCCACACTGTGTCGTTTTGTCAAGGACGAGGCCATACTAGCACTTGAGTAATTCCTGCCTCGGAACCAGCCTAGCATAAACATCCGTGTGATTTTGTCACAATCAAACGAAGTCATCAACCACTGCCACATAAAACACACGTATATGATGGCATCGCAAAATGTTAGCACTCCGTGGTTGCGTGACCAAAGTAGGACACAAGGCAGACCTTGCAATGCCAACCAACCGTCTCCTGGTGCGGATAACCCACCTAAAAGGTCCCCAATCGATGTAGTTGTCAAGGTTTCTCTGTACCCAAAACATGGTATCTAGGAGGGGCCAGAACTCCATCGATCCCCAAACTGCGGTAATTCTTTATTCACGATTCCAGTCAATCAAACCCCGCCTAGTCAAGAGCTCCACAGAAAGCCTTCCTTCCCACATGTTGTACAACTATTAAGTATTCATGGACTCAATAGTATACTGACCGGCGTCTCTCGTGGTTTCAGAATATGTTCACATCGACCTAAAAATACGATATGTATGAGATAGGATAGTAAATTTACATTATGCATATACTGTAAGTGAAGCTCTGGTATACGTGTGGAACATGGAACTTATGGTTAACCCAATGGTTTGGTAATCCAAAAAAGTAAGCCATGATCAAAGTGCAGTCAGAG